ATATTATCAAACAAAATTTTATTTAAATATTTTAAAATTTAAAAAATATAGATTATAAGTATATTTTTGTTAATTTTCTAGGCAAATTTGTCTAGAAATAGTCTACAGTTTAAGGGATACTGTATAACAAAAAGAAGCAGCATAAGAAGAAATGTTTTTATAAAATGTATATTGAACAAACTCTTAATATTAGAAGAATTCAACAAAAGAAAACTAAATTTATATATGAATGCAGAATGCCAAGTATGTTAAAACAAAATTAAAGAAATACAAAGACATTTGGTAGCATTCAAGGAACAACAAGCTTTGAAAAAGAATACTGAAAGTATCTATTGCAACAGCATAAAAAAATTTAAAAAAAAGAAAAAACTAGAGCTCTACCTTATGTATTGTACTGGTGTGTCAATCATTAGTATAATTACAAATATAATGCAAGCAGCATAATGAAGATCACTAATCAAGATTTTTTATATCAAAATTTTAATCTGTACACTCTAATTAACACTTATGAAAAATACATTTCACTGCACTTTCAATTTCTCTTTCAGTATTTAATATTTTTTTAATTTTTAAAAGCTTATCATTTTATAAGATATATCTTCATAAAGTAACAACATTGAAATTCTACTTAAATATATTCTTATCATATAAAATGCCTTTTGTATTTCTTCAAATTTATCATCTTTTTCAGTATAACAGTAAGCAATTTAAAAAATTTTTTACAATGAGTGTAATAATTAATTATAATATACAACCTATATATTAGTCTTTCAGGATTGAAAAATCAGACAGACCTAATATGACAGTAATAAAATAATTTTGTTTTTTTTTGTATCGTTCAAATAATTTATACTTAGCTTTATATTAATTCTTAGTTGTCAAGAGAACTATAACTTTACTGTATTTCTTTAGTTAGTTATTAAGACTTCAAATCATGATCATAATAAATATTAGATCATGCGATAATAAATATAGTAAGACCCATAGTTAGAACAGTTTGTTGAGTGTAAGTATTTTCTTTGTTGCATATAAATGACAGAAGTATTGATCTTTTATTGAACCTAGTTTCTGAAAAATTATTCCATAATGATTATTCTAGTTGCTTCAATAATGCTTGCTATTTTAGTCATAAAATGGATTTAATATGAAAAAAGAAGGTAATTATTTATTATGAAAAAAGAAGGTAATTATTTATTGTTAAAATTATTTGACTTGATTACATCAGATTTTTTAAGTTCGAATTTAATAAAATAATAATTAATAAATTAATTTTTACAGATTTTCTATTTTCATCATTTATATAATATTTGGTTATTTACAGATTAGTAGAATTGAACTTTTTATTTAGATTGCTAAATATACATTTATAATACTTTCTATAATATAAAAAAAAACAATTCTACTAAGATATTAACATTATATATTTATTTTTTATGTTGCCACAGAAGAAAATTATTAAGGATTTCATATGCCCTTTCTTTCTTAGAAGTTTCAATATGATTTTCTAATATCTTATTGGATATTGAATTTTTGGCATTTTGACAAATATTTCACAAATCATTTTGAGAAATTTCTTGAATTCTACTATCCAATTCACTAAGCTGAATTCATGATTTTTGCAAATGAATGTCCATATTTGGATGAACTTTCATATCGTAATGGTTGAATAATTACTCTAATTGTTGTTGATGTATTATAATATTCCAAGCATGAAACTTAAGAAATTCATATACAAGAGGAAATTTTTCTGGCTCTGCTATATCAGAATTTGCAAAAGCCATGAATTCTTCAAAGAAGTCTAGATGGTTTAACTTATCCAACAATCTAAATATTGTTATACGTCCACTAGACAAGTTCATTCTTAAATATTCAATATATGAACTTTCTATTATAGATTGTTCTTTTGAAGAGTTTCAGGAAAAAAACACTTTTAAGAATGCACAAGCAAATTCAGGTTCATTTTCTCCACCTAATTGACAGATACATAATGGTAAGTGAACCCAAGTTTTCATCCATTTAATAAAACTATTTAATGCATTTTCTACTCTATTATATAATAATTCACAAAAATTCTTAAAATCAGTAGTATTTAATTTACACTCAGTGTTAGCCAATTCTTTACCAAATAATTCATAAATATTATCCAGGCAGTTTTGAAGGTTTTTAATCCAGATTAATATTTTATTCAGCATTTCATGAGCATGATTTCCTGGTGGAAGTGTTACTTTTTGATTTTCTCTATAAATTCATTAAATTAGGTCATAGCTGGTTATGAACTTATAAACAGGTTCATAAAATTCTTGTCTGAATTTAACAAGGCATTGCAATTGAAGATTAATTTGTTTGCCAGTAAGCCATTCAAGAAAGATTTTCCACTTATACAAATATGTTTTTAGAACATTTTTTGCATTTTTAAGTTGCTCAATAAAATACTGTGCAAAAAAAATATGAACATCCTGTCAAGTAAGATATTGCCTTGCTGTTTTAAGTTCATATAACTATTTTTGATAAATGGGTTGTTGATATTTATTTATTTTAAAATCAAATAGAATCTTATAAAGTTTTCATAATATTTCAGATTTTAAATTTAATAGACTGTTCTTGTCTGAAATGTCATAGTATCATGAAGGTGAAAGGTGAGGTTAAGTAAATTATATGGATGTTTTTTTAATGACAAACCTTTAACACTATCTACTTTTCCAAATGCTATATTTTCAAAATTCATAAGAGTGATTTGAACTGCATGTAATCCACAAGAAATTCGAAATGATTCAGATGCTGCTAATAAATTAAATTTAGCAGTTACACCATGAGCTTCTGAAGACATATAAGCAGTATTGTTTGTTAGCCAAAAGTGACATTTTTTAGGATCGATTTTGCTATGCTGACACATTTCAAATACAGTAGCTGAAACTGTTTTTGCATTACAATATGTTAGGTCTGTTAATTTTGCTACTATAATTACAAACTCTTTTTTGATACTATTTTAATGAGAAAAACATATAATCAACACTTTTTTTTCATCTCGTATACTTTTATCAACCATAATACCATATCTGAAAAACCAAGATGAATTTTCTTTAGGACAATTTTGGCTAAAAGACAGAGCCGCTACCTCTTTATTCCACCATGCCAAAGTAGACAGTGCTATTCATTGTTGTGAAGACTCTCCAGTTAAAAATTGAAAAACAGCTTTAGTACATTCTACTGTTGCACAAATAGAGGTATATCCTATAGTACTAATATCAGTAGCTAGTTTTACAAATTCTGCATTATATTCTTTATGATTAATTTTAAATAATTTACTAGCAGCATTTTGAAATTGATTAGGTTTAATTTTGAATTGCAGCCCGAATCTTTAAAATTTGCTTTTTTTTGACTGTTTTGCTTTTACTAATTGCATTGAAAGTGAGTGAACCTTAGTATTCAAGGATGATCTATTATTTTCTAAGTGTTGAATTTTTTTTTAAAAAAATTTGAATCTTGATTCTAATGCATTAACAGTGTAGTGATGTTTATAAATACCAGAATCAACAAACTTGAGAGCCTTTTTTTGTAAATACATAGAAATTATTTCTTCTTTATGAATTCCCCAAGGATAAGTTATTGTTTGAAAGAGAGTAGATGCATTAAGTACTTATTAATCTGGTAGGTTACAAATTTGAATAATCATATCATTATGTTTTCTTTGAATTTGAGTATTTATTTCCCAGAATTCACAAATTTGTTTTATTGCACAGTTAAAATCATTATCATTTAGTCGTACAAAAGCTGGAATTACATGATTAAGCATAGCACTAGGATCATTTTTAATTTCATATAGCACTTTTAGTTGCTCACATTTGTGCAAACTTCGAATCTGTTTAAGTTGTCTATTTCTTAGATTTAATCAACCCATGAATATTTGTTTTTTTTTAGAAGTTTATTTGAATATATTATTAAACTTTATATAATAAATTTATTGCTTTATTTTTTATTTACTCAATTGCAAAATAACAGGTTATATTTAAATAAAAAATTACAAAATATGTTTTTTTATATTTTCTATTTACATTCTATAAGCTATTGTTTAATGTAATATTTATAATATCACTAATGAACATGTAATGATGAATAGTAATGCACATTTACTTTATAATTATTTTCTTAATGATTTTGGATGTAAATAATTGTTCAGAGAAATAATATAGGTTTAATAGTAAATAAATCTTGTCAAACCAATTTCTGATTATTATATTAAGATAGATAGCAACATAGCTTAACAGTAAATAAATTTTTATCAGAACAATCGCTGACTACTATATCAAGGTAGATAATTGTCAAGAAAATGACATATAAACCTAGTATAAATAAATTTAGAACAATTTCTGATTACTATATCAAGATCATGAAGAAATAGTGAATAAGTTCTAGGATTTATATGTACAAGCATGAAATTCACTGCTTATATTTAATATTTCTAGATAAGATCAAAAAAAAAAAACAAAGGTGAGTAAGCAGAAAAACTAAAAGTATCCATTCTCATAAATACTAACTTGATACATTCTAGTTAATAGTTGCAAATCGAAATACTATAAGCTCATTACTAATTCAAGGCACATCGAGCAGCCTATTAATGATTAATATAATATTTACCTATCGAGTTATAAAATTTTTTGCTTTTTGTTGTAAACTAACCATATAGAAAGACAGAAGATTTAATGTTGTCATAATATAAAGACACATTCAATACAATATATAAAGTTGTTAAAATTAGAAAATATTAAATACTGAAAGGGAAATTGAAAGTGCAATGAAGTGTATTTTTCCATAAGCATTAATTAGAGTATACAAATCTTAAAATTTTATTATAAAAAATTTTAATTAGTGATCTTCATTATGCCACTTACACTATGTTTGTGATAATACTAATGGTTGACACCCCAGTATTGTACATAGTATTATTAAAAAAAACAAAAGCAAAAAAAAACAGAAATAAAGAAGCACTGATTAAGAGCCTAATTTCAAAAACAACTTAAGACAAATTAGCACAGCTTCTAGATATACAGACAAAATAAAAATTTGTAAATATATTAGCAAAAACACCTTTTATAAGCAAGTCTGAAAAACATAATATAAAAAAGTTAATGAATAAAAAAAAAAACAGGAATAATTAGCAAAATTAAAAAAGAAACAAAAAAAAACAATTCAAGCAAGAAAAAAAAAGACTAATTGGCAAGAAATAGAGAAAAAGAAAAAGAAAGCAAAAAAGAAGGAAAAGCAAATTGAAAATAAAGTCAGAAAAATAATTTTAAAGCTTGTTATAAAAGAGTAAAGACTCTTTTATTATAGACTTTAAATAGATAGACAAGCAACTTACTTCTGTTTAAAGTAATGCAGCAGATTGCACTTAGATGTTATTAGAATAGCTAGATAATATTAGACTTAGTTGTTAGATATATCTAAGTAATTACAATAGTGATTTTAAAAATCTTTTAAAGTACTAACATAATTGCTTAAATTAAAAAAAAAATAATAATAAATTTTAAAAATAAAATATAAATATTAAAGTTAACATTAAAATTAAAAATAGTTAAATTATATATAAAATTTATTAAAGAATTTTTTTGTTAGAACTTAAACTATTGTTTCATAAGTAAAATTTTTTGTTATAAACAATTTTTTTAAAAAATATAATTATTTTAAATTTTTAATATATAATATAATTATTTATTTTGTTAATAAATAGTATTATTAATATTATTATATATAATAAATAAATAAATAATGATGGCCAGACTCAATGTACAGAGTAGGCTATGGCACTTTTCACAGCTATAAGAGCTAAGCATATGGTAAGCGAATCTACAAAAGAATCTTCTATTTTCTTGAATTCAATTTCATTATCAAAGATCAAAAAAACATTGCAAAAATTAGTTTACAAGACATTTTATGATCCAAACTTATGCTATAACCAATAGCTAGCACATCTGAATTTACCTCTACTTCCATATTTACAAACACTCAACTCCTTTTTAAACCACATCTATCAATACAATTTTACACAATACAATAATTTTAACTATGTATTTAAAATATCAATCAAACTTGACTATAGTGAATATTATATACATCTACTAACTCTTATCAGAATATTTTTTTCTACAACTATTAGGTTATATTTATTACTCATCTATATTTATCTTTTCTAAATTCTTTCTAATAAACAATAATACATTAAATACTAAGTTAATCATAAAGGATAATAAACTAGATAACACTTATTCTTACTTAGTAAAAACTATTTTAAATAGCTATGATGAAATTACTATAGCTAAACAATACTATGACAATATCTAATTTAATACTTGCTACAACAAATTTCTATTTTACAACCACATATTACTACTTCCTTACTTTCAAACTATTAATATTTTTTTATAACACATCTACAGTTTTGGCTATTTATCTGATAATTTATATGGCTACATATTAACTATCTCTATTAAAAATGTTCATAGTGAAGCTTATATTTATCTTCTATTCAAATTCAACCTTTATCAAATTACTTTATTTTATCAGTTTAAGCTATTTGGTATTATCCAAACATTCAACTAAAATTAAATACACTAACAACAATCTTTACTATACCAACACCTCTAGATCATCAATTTTTTTTTACTCCTAGTTATTCATCTTAAATAAACTATGAATCTTCTAATCTATCAAGTTTAGCTTTTCCAAATTTCTCATTCCTTTCTACTTCTAATCAATTATTACAACTATTTCACAATTCACTAACATTATCTCCTTAATCAATTATAAATCTAGACCAAACTCATGTTCTTAATCTTACTATTGCAACTTATAATATTAAAGGTTTCAATACTATTACTAAAAGAGAAACCTGGCAGAACTATTGCTTACAGAATAATATTTTTATTGCTAGCATCACAGAAACCTAAATATCAAACAAAACAAACTTATTTTTTTGTAATATTAACACCTTCACTTACTACTAGTCCAACTTTAAAATCTTAGTTGAGGAAATAGCTATTATAATTCGCAATTACCTTAGACCTCATGTGCATAGCTGCATAATATATTTAGAAGGAGTTATTGCTTTAGATTTTTTTTTAAAAGCAATATTAAGCTTTGCATAATCTCAGTATATCTTTCATCTACAGACTCTGTAAAATATAAAGAAACACAAAATACTGTTATTAATTGGATTTAACAAGTATATTATTTAAACCTTCATCTTATTGTTTTAGAAAATTTTAATACACAAGACTTTATTCACAGTTATCAAGCAAATTTAAACTCATTAACTTTCTTAATAACTTTAATATATATAATATTAGAGTACATTTCAACAACAAATATTATACTTGGTCTAATAACTTTAGTAGTAGTCATATAGACTACATCTGAACTAACCAATTTATTATTCAATTTCTTCTCTTATATAATCTTAACTCAAGCAATACCAGTACTCTTAATGATCATCTAATCCTCTTATCTTTATAAACATTTTCTAATGCATTTAGCAAACCTTCAAAACATTACACTAGAATAAGTTGTAAAATCTTCAACTACAAGGCAATAGATTTTAATAAATAAACAGAGTTCTCTAACCTTCTTACATCAAATTTTAAACTTCATAGCATCCTTCTTACTATACACTTAGATGAAACTTTTCAAACAACTTGGCACAAAATTGAACACTTTTTTATTAATACTGCAATACAATCAATACCAAACAAAATTAGTTACAAATAAAGTTATAATCATAAATATATCTCATATAGCACTTTACTATACTTATCACTTAAAAAACTTAGTCACTTAATTAAAATTACTAAAATTAACAAGTTATTAACTAATATTTCCTTTATCAACTATCATATTCAATCAATCAATTTTCAAGCATAATTTAATCTTTAATTTATTTTCTCATCTAACTATATTGAAAAATGGATTATACATGTTAGCAATATCTAAAAACAGCTATATCATATATGCAATATAGAAAATTTACTTCTTTTTTTGTTAACAAATACAAAATGCTTCTAAGAAAAGATGTGAAACTTTTGTTTCACATTCTAAACAGACCATCAATAGCATTCTTAACTGCTATTATAAACCTATTTATTTCTTTAATATTAAACTACCAAATCAACTTATTACTGAACCAAATACTGTTAAGTAATATATTCAAAACCATTTTGAAAACTGGACAAAACACAAACTAATTAACCACAATCTTTATTAAAACTTCTGGCAACAACACTATCAACCACAACTATACATTAATACAACTTGATATATTTTACTTACTAAAGCTATTATAATAGAAGAAGTACTTAATACAGTAGCCTAACTCCCAAATGGCAAAGCCTATGGTCCTATAGGCATAAGCTATAAAATAATTAAATATGCCAGTTCTATATACATTCAATCTATTACTGTCTTATTTAATCACTGTTTTAACTTTGGTCATGTTCCTAAACAATGAAAACATAGCAGAATCTATTCCATTCCTAAGTGCAATACTTTTGATAAAGACCTTAATCTAACAAGACCTATTAGCCTTATTAAACATATTCAAAAATTTTATACAAAAATTATTCACACAATACAATATTCTTTCTCTTTTTAACTATATTGCTCTTCTAGGCAATAGTATATTTATTCCTATTCATATTCTTAATAATCTTATTAAGAATGCATCTTGCAGCTACAAAGACATTTGGCTCTTGTCTCAGGATATAAGCAAAGCATATAACTCTGTCAACCTTACTTTTCTTGAACAATTATTTTTATATTTTGCTTTACTTTTAAAAACTATAAACACAATAATAGATCTGTTCACAAATAGGCATAATTAAGT